CCAAAATAAGAACATTCAAAGAGTAGAATCATTTGAAAAGTCTAAACTGAAAAGATGTATCTATACATCCTTTCTATTGCACCAAGGAAGTGAAGGCCAATCATGGTCCTTGAAGGAGCACTTTGCATCGTTTGGGGGCAACAGAGAAGAAGCCCTTTTGCATGTGTCCAATAAGCAGGCCTCTGAAGATAAGGGCTGCTCCCAAAGTTCTTAATTCCTCACAACTGCATGTCCAGTCCATATTCCAGAGAAGTAAGAAAGTTAGTCCAAAAACAGGGAAGTCTTGCAAGCACCTTAAATACTAACACCATTATTGTGGCATGAGGTCTTGTCAGTAAGAGCCGATTTTGTCTTGATGCATCTGACCCTTGTCCATGAAAGCATATGCTACAATAAATTCCATAATTGCTATGGTCCCAGAAGATCCTGTGTTTTTACCATAATCATAATATATATAATTCAAGGTGGACTCACTGCATTGGAAATTGATTTCTTGTCCTTTGATATGCCTAGGAGATGTATAACTCAAGTACTTTATAAAAGGGTAGATATATGTCTATTAGAATAGCTCAAGTAATTAAATACTCATGATATAATAGTGATAAAAACAAAGTAATTCATATCTTAGATTTTGTAACCACTTCTTCAGAGCATGGTTGTAATAGTAACAAATTGCTCCTCAATTCCCTATTCCTTAATTGGGATAGTTAATACTATTACAGCAATAATCTTTCACATGCAGGTACAATTACCCTTTTCAAAGCCTTCCCATTGATCTGCCTCAGGGTTTTGATAAATTTCTAAGTGCCGCAATTACCTCATTTTAATGCTAAAATTAATCTTGAGCTGTTACAATTGCCTATCAGAGCAGGAAGCCCTGGCTTTCCCAGTTTTTTTAAATATTATTTGGCAGGAAGAGCCCAATTCCTTATGCTACAGTTTTGCCTCGTTAAAATTTTGCACACGCTGAATAAGCTGACAAGATCCTCATTTCATTTTCATGAAGGTCTTTGCTCCCTGAGGGACAATACACTTAGAATCCTACTCCAGCACACTTCACTACCTAGGAAACAATTATGGGGAGACACATGGTTGTTATCTAAATGAGAGGCAGAATGAGAATAGATTTGTAATCCTCCTCTGAGGTTTTCGAGATGGACCCCAAAAGAACTGGTGACATTTGCTCCCATTATTTCGCAGACAGTTTTTATTTTGGAATAAACGTCTGTCCCCACTAGATTTAATATGAGTGTGTGACAGATATATATTTGCTGATCTACTTTCAGTAGCAGAACAATGCTGAACAGCTGTATTATAATTGGATCTTTCTAGTAAATGGTCTATTTGAATGAGGTCTCCAAAGATGGGAAATTTCCTAACGCTATTTCCCCCTCAATATTTACATAGGCATAATTGCTTAGTACAGAAAGGCTAAAACCTGTTAATGCATTCATGCAAATATTCATTGGGGGAGAGGGGTATTTTTAAAGGATATGAAAGCAGTGAAAAGGTAAAAAATAAATGACTTTATCCTTATTCCATCAGCAAGCTTTCACACTGAGGGATGAAGCAGCCAGGAAAAATTTGAATGTTTAAAGAGTGGTTGTTTAATGGTATACATAACACAATGTTGTGTTGTTATAAACAAATTTCATCCAAGCTCGTATTTACTAAAGTAGGATACCAAAGGTACTGCAAATATATACAGAGAAATTCTAAACAGAGTTGGGTGAGGGGAGTGAACTGGCAGGTTGTCCCCACGACCAAAAGAGGTAATAGAAAACATACCATGTGATCAGTGGAAGAATGGGAGATAAACTTAATCTAGAGTGAGACGGAGAAAGGTAGGAAGCCAAATCCTCAGGCCTCCCAGGGTGGTCAGTACCTTACAAGGATTAATACCTGCCCAAGGTGCTGCTTCAGGACCTACCACCTTAGATTTATGCCAACAGAGCTTTCCACAGCTGGCAAACTGGAGGTCTCCGTGGCAGACGTGGCTCATGTCCCTCCCCACTAGGCTTCTTCAGTGGTGCAAGGACACCTCCTCCCCATCCTACTCCTTAGAGAGCCATTTGAAGGGGCTGGGACTGCTCTTCCCAACAATTCATTCAATGCAGTGAGCTAGTCTCAGTTTTTCACCATTTTTTTAAATCTAGTTTTTGACATCAAAATCTGATTAAATTTTTATTTATGGAATCATTCCACATTTCAGATCAGTTTCAGCCCTATTCCAATCAAGGTTTGTTTGGTTGGTTTTTGATGCAACATCTCTGGGCAGGGTGGATTTGATTTAAATTACTAGTCACTAAGGCTAGATTTAAATCATGGTATTCTACATAATTAGCATGCATGCATGCATGCCTTACCTGTAGGCAGAGGAACTAAATTAAAATATTGGGTCTCTTTTATGGTCTAATGCCATAATAGATTTTCTACCGCAGAGAAAGAATAATGTGATAAGACTCGTGGAGTATTCTGTTTAAAAGATTTCACTTTCAGTTTCACTGCTTGCCCCTCCCTCCTCACACTTAACTTCTCCTGCAGATCTATTCCACTCCCAGCAATCATCTTCTATTCGTTTTTTTGAAACTTAAGAGGTAAGGAGTTGATTCACTGTATATAGATTTGCAAATGAACAGTGGGATTTAGGGTTTTTTTCTCAACTCTGTATGTTTATTTTATAACATTTTTGCTGTGAAAGAAGAGGCATGTGATCTCTGCAGAAACAAATGCATAGTTTGGAGAACTGTAAAATGAAGCATCTGTGATAATATCTTCTAGCTTGGGTCCTGGTTACCTGAAGGAGCGCTTACATCCATATTTGCCCAGTCGCCCCCTGAGATCGGCGGGAGAGGCCCTTCTCCGGGAGCCCTCCGTGAGAGAAATTAGGAGGGTGGCTACTCGGAGAAGGGCTTTCTCAGCGGTGGCGCCTAAGTTATGGCATGCGCTCCCCAGAGAGGTCCGCCTGGCGCCGTCGTTATTTGTTTTTCGGCGCCAGGCTAAGACCTTTTTATTTAAGCAACATTTTAAATGCTAAATACAATTGAATTTTATCTGGCCAGGGCAGCTTATTTTATAATGTGTGTTTTAATTAAGATTATTATATATGGATATTTTAACTTATTGTTTTATCTATGTTGTAAGCCGCCCCGAGGCTTCGGCGAATGGGGCGGCATAAAAATGTTTTAATAAATAAATAAATAGATAGATAGATAGATAGAAAAATTGCCCAATAATCTCACAGAAACCACTGGAAGAGCATGACATTGTGGATGGATTAATGGAATTCATTTATCAAAAAATGTAACTATTGCATGAATATACAGCCTCATGCTACATCATTAAAAACTAATCCTTACTTCATTATGAATAACCTTTGGACTATAACGTATCTTAAATAAAAAAAAACTATATTTTCCTCAAAAAAGTATTTTATTTAAAAATTCACTTTAAAGAATCAAATGAAAATCAGATTTAAATTGAAACATCTTTTTTTAATGATTGATTTTTATCTATCCTGTCCCTGGGTGTGATGAACAAAGATGACCTCCCATTCATGAAATGCAAGTAATTCTGCTAGTTCCTTTTTTTACTGTTTCAAAATGCTGGAAGCACCTTTTAAAGGAACACACCAGAGCTTGCTTTTCATACAATTCAACTGAAGGCCTGCAAAATCCAAGATTTATTTTCAGCATAGGTGTGTGGAGTCCCATACAGTAAGTAATTTTACTCATTGTCCTAATGCCACAGTATTTTCTGGAATTTGTTAAAGCTCTATTTGATCCACTAAAAAAGTGTTTTATCTTCATTAAAATTCAAGAACAGCCACTGCCTATAATGACTACTTAAGTTTTTTGATCTAGCTGTCTATTTAAAGAATACCAGTACTTATAAATTTCTAATTGTATGACTGTACACACCACATTTCTAAAAGAGGTATTCACTGTTGGATTTCAGTAGAGATATCCTATAATTATCTACGCTGTATTTGGTGACTACATTGGAATTTTAACATGTAAGATTGCTCCGTCAAGTGGGACTTAGAAAAGCAGGGGACAAAATACAACTTCAGGCCCGTCATGTCTGCATCACACACCCACCGTGGACCTAATACCTCTACAGAGTCGTCTGCAAGCAGAGGACCTGCAGTGCAAACATGTATATGTTCAGTGTAAATAATTGTGCATACAATTGCAGTCTAAATGCCTTGCCAGCCACCTTCGCTGTGCAGTTCACAAGACATGGCTAATTCATCATCCTCAACATACAGTCTGGTTATGGCGTTCTTTCCATGGCAGCAGCCAGTTTATATGGCTTTAAAATGGGGGTTGACAAAATCACGGAGGATTTTCAAGACTGTCAATGAAATTTCTATGCGCCGGGAAGGCTTTTAAAGATACACGGAGGGCTGTCGCATCTCCCACCGAAAGCACGCCATGGTACAGCCCAGGCTCCAGGCTGCGTGCGTCCCGCGCACGACAGTAAGCCCAGCCAAACGTGCAGGGCAAGGAGCTTCGCACAGGCGTCTGACGCGCCTCTGGTTTTGTTTGGCCTTCCAGACGACTACTGGAGCGTGGGAAGGGGAGCTGCGGCTCGCCTTTCAGCCGCTAAGTGGGGAGCGCTGCGGCTGATGGTCCCCAGGAGAACTGCAGCAGCTGCTCCAGCACGGCAGCGAAAGACAGCCGCGGGCGGGCCGTGACGGCGTCTCTGCACCTTCCCCTCCTCACCGCTCCGTATCGCATCACGAGGGTCAAGGCAACGACCGCGGCCTTTGCACTCGGACGCTCTGCGCCCTCTTCCTTTCTCCGGGGTAGGCTGGGAGCGGCCACAGCCGGGAGGCGCCGCTCTGTGGACACGCCTCTGAACTCCCTCCTCGGCGTTTTTCCGCACCCTAGAAGGCAGCAGGAGGCGGAGCGCAACGCGCCTCTCTTCCACGCAGCCAAAGGCCGGAGAGAGGCGGGCAGAGACATGTCAGGTTCCTCTTAGCCCTCCCCTGGCTTGCAGCTTGCACTTCTGCCCCGGAATAACTTGTACCGTTGTTGCGGGTCGGCGAAGGCGCAGGTCTGAGGAAGGCTGGCTGGACCGACATTCTCAGTTTCCAACCAGCTCGTCGCAGGGCTCTATTGATGTACGTGTCTTGCTCAAGTGTGGATCTGTATCGTCTCCCTATCCCGGGCAGCAGGAGCAGGAAGAGGCACCTGCGGCCCTTCACGGGTAGCGCACTGTTCATTTCCCCTCCTCGTTACCTCTTTACTGATCTTCACGGGAAGAGGCAGAGGAAGTTCGGACAGCGCGGAGCGTTGCCGAAAGTGCAAGGGCGCACGCACAGGGTGGTGCCCCCTGCTCTTTCCCGGCGCCGGGAAAGTTGTGGGTCCTGCGCGCGGACCCGGGGCGGGGCTATTCGCGGGCAACGCGGCTTCACGCCTCTTTCCATGGAGGGATCCTCCCTGTCGTCCTGCCTGCTTTACTTACTCGGGTGGAGTACCTCAAACACTTTTGCCCATTGAGAAGGAGGTGGAAATTAGTATGGAAAAGGATGGGCTTTTGTGCTGTGAAATTTTAGCTAGTGTAGTAACATGAAAGTTTAATTTGGAATTCTGCTTAAAAAAAACAACGTGATTTTTAAAAAGGCTTTTTCACCGGGAAGGAAGAAGGAATTTCCACATACATTCCTTGCCCTTTCTGTACCTTGAGCTGGCAATTATTGCCCAAAGTTTCCTTATATCGTTCTATATTCCCCTGGGGTACAATATGTGTATACTGGCTTTCTTCCTCTTATAGGATAGGGGTTTTGAAGCACTGAAGACATCTTGTGAACTTCCATGAATGCACTTCATGGAACATTATCTTAGTAATCCTTACAACAACTCTTCAAGGTAGATCAGTATTAGGATATCAGTCTTAAACCTGAAGTGTGGGTTTAATGGGGGATGAAGCTGAGAGAGAGTGGTTTGCCTAAAGACATCTAGTGAATTAATTACACATTTGAACACTACATTGCATTAACTTTCTCTTTAGCTCAGAGGTGAGAACAGTGGCCCTTGAATATTGCTGTATTCTGTTTCCCAGCCAGGGATAATATATTTCAACCTCACCTGGAAGGTCCTATGTTTTCCATCTCTGACTTAGCTGCATGTTTGGCTGAGGTCTGTTCAAATTGCCATCTGAAATCCAGCTTCTCCCCCATTTCCTTGACATCCCTAGTCCATGGTCATCTTCCCACCTCTGGCCATACACAGTGCATTGTTGGTGCATGCCACTTAACATTACCTCCTGTAATCCCTGTTGATATTATCCTGCTTCTTCATTGCTGTAATGTGTTCTTTTCCTGAGGTCTTGTTTCAGCTTGTATTTATTTCATCCTTCCATTTTGTTTTTGCTGTTTCTCAGTTTGTGGTTTTGTGTCCCTTCCCACCTCACAGCCTGCTTGCTATTTAGCCCTGCTTCCAGCACACCCACCTTTGTCTCCCATCTTACTTGCAACCTAAGATGGTTCATAATTTTATACAAGTAATGGCACAAAATGCAAATTAGCAAAATTTTCTGGGGTCACTTGATGGATTGCTTCCTAGGCCAGGATTTCACCACTTCTTCCTTCCCTGTCTGGTTCCTAACCTTGTCCTCAGGTGATGTTGGGCTACAATTCCCATCATCCCCAGCTAGTTTGTTCAGAAGCATATGGGAACCCAAGGTCAGGAACCACTATACAGGCCTTCAGTGGATCCAGGGAAGGAACCGCTCAAATGGTTCTTTTGGGTTACTTCAGGAACTGATGGCATAAACTCCCTTCCCTCTTCTCCTCACATTTGGTGCAATAAGACATCCAGTTAATCACTTTACTGTGTTCCTAGTCAACTTTTGCTGAGCCAGACAAGGCATCACATACTGAAAATAAGCACTAAAGGCTGTCATAAGAATTCCTCCTCCCACTGCAACCCCTGATGTTCCATGAGGCCAAGACATGTTGGTGATGCATGGCAAATTTTTCTCACACTTCCCATCATGTGCTGCTTTGGCACTTTGTTTCTAGCTTGTATTAAGCTGGAGTTATGTCTGAAGTGGGGAATTCTGGCTCAACTATAAGCAAGAGCTGCTGATCTTGGGAAACTCTGGCTTAATACAAATGAAATGAAACAGTGAGCAAGGAGAGGATGTCTCTTTGCTACAAGCAATATACAGAAAAGCATAATAACCTGTATCTTTAATACTTGCAATTGTAACATTTTGTTTGCATTTTGGTTGTGATCATTTATATCCCAGGGTTGAAGATAGAACATGGAGATGGCTGCTCTCAGTGGCTCCAGGAACTCTGTTTTAATTCGACTGACATCTTTGGCTAGTCGGGGAGAGTGCTTCAGTCCTTATGCTTTCTCATGTGGATTCACAAATGGACAACAGCATCAGGTGACTAAGTGGAATAAAAGCAACAGCACAAGATCCTATGTGACTGCAAGTCTCAGCAGCCACATAAACGAAAGTCAAGGGTGGCTTTTGAATCCAAGGAATGCAGACATATGTAGGGTTATGCACAGACCTTATACTCTCTTTCATCCAAGGGCAGAAGGAAAGGAATTATTATTTAGAACACTTTCTTCTCAGAAACTGCAGAACTTTTGTGAAATTGAGAATGTCCAGATGTTCAGGCTTTTTCATGTGTCATCAGCACAGAAAGCTGCTCCACTTAGCATCTTTTTTATAATCTTGAAGCCAGCTCAGAAACTCCTTGCTATCATCCTTGGGAGGTAAGTATTTATACTGCCTTGGGCTGTGACATAATTTGTGTTGGAATAACTTTTTGTAAACTTTGTGGCATGCTTATGACATGGCTAAAGAGCCTTGCAGTTAGTTGATGAGAGCTCATTTACAAGCAAGAAATATTTTCTCATTGCCCCCCTACCTTTTTCTTTTGACTGATTTAAAGCCTAGTGATAGCTTTGGAAAGCACTTGGTACTTTTGTTAGCCTAGGCAAAAAGAGACACAAGGCATTCAAGTGTTCTTAAGCTGGATAGAACAATACAGCATTCTCCAGCAAGGGGTTCCAGGCCAGTGTTTTGGCCTCAGAATTGTGCTTTTATAGGCAGCATCAGATCAGAGATGGCAGCAGCTTGCAGCCTAAGCTATTATCCTTAGAGGATCTCCAAGAGGCCAGAGGCATGGGCCAGGGGCTAATAGCACCACTTCCGTTTCTTTCTAAGAGGATTCGCTGAAACAGACATGAATGAGAGAATCGGTGCTACCTATACACTTGTTTTCTCGGATCAGATGTTTGGACCAGCTCAGTAACAGGTTGCACAATGCCCAAGCTATGGCTTATGTCAAGCATTTTGATGCATTTAGCATCTTGAATCCATGCATCCTCCATCCACACAGTGTGAAAGCTGCCCTAGTTCTTGGTAACATGTTTGTTTATTATCAGCTTACCTTATTCAAGTATGCATTACCAGAAAGACCAGTCATTTCTTTTGTTTAGGGTTGTGGGTTTCTGGTATTATTGAAACTCCCATGAAATGCACCTGAAGTTAAGCACAATCCAGCATTAGGGATTTTGTGGGAAAAGACACAGAATGAATAAATGTGCCCTAAATATGATTAACTCTGAAACCACACCCAGATGTTGCCTAGGTAATGAGCTAATTCAGATGATATCACAGCCCATCATGGGTTAATTAACTTTCATGTCAATTAACATGACATCCATCATTATATAACCAGGGATTATTGTAGCTTCTTTTTGTAGTGTAAATCCAGCCAGGAACATTTTCAAGAGTTAAATAAGCAAGCGTAACCCATAGGCCAAACCAGGCCATAGAATGATTTTCTTGTGGTATTGATTTTGTTGGTTGTAGCAATGTAAGGTCAAGACCTTTTTATTTCATCAATATTTTAATAAGCTTTAATATTGTATTTTTTAATATTATATTTTTAACTGCAGCCAGAGTGGGTCGATTTGTTTATGTTGATTTTTATGTTGATATTCTGTCATAATTTATTTATATTGATATTTGTATTTTATTTATGTAAGCTGTCCTGAGGCTTTTGCAATAGGACGGTATATAAATATCACAAATAAATAATAAATAAATGTATTTCTCCACCCAAAATATTCAATCTTTAGCAGTGACTTTTATAGCTTTTGGATCTTGCTGTGCAGGCTTTGTGTGCAGTTGACTGAACTTTGGTTATGGTGTTATAACACTTGCTGATCTTCAGTAAGGTTTTTTTTGGGGAGGGAGGGGGTAGTTTAATTGCTGCTCAGTTCAGAAATTACTGCTTTAATGCAAATGTAAAAGGAAGAGAGGCTTACCGCATGCAGTGTTTCATGTGACACAATCATATGCTAATAGATCCACACCTTTGCACAAGTCTCATGATCTTCCATCTCATAAAAGGATTGGAAGGATTGCAGCAATTGTGGACATTGCAATATACCTGCACTACACTTGTTTTACAAGTAATGGTAGGGCGTGTGGCTGCTGATTCACCTTGTATGCAGTGTTTCTCGACTGCAGATTGGGTAAAATGACCTTTGGAAGACTACGTTGATCATGAAATATGGTTGAATGCATTTTTTTCATTAAATATAGGGCATGAGGCAGAAAGCCACTTAGACTCATACAAGGGGCTTGTACTAGCCCAGTGGAATTTTTTATTTTGAAATGCTACCTATGGCTTTCATGACAGATAACAAATTGCTTTTGTAGTTCTTCTTCAATTTTGAAATTGGTTTGCCTTGTGTCTTGGAGCTTTGAGAAATATGTCAAAATTGGGCTCCTGGGATTAGTTGTACGTTTCTTTGGGTGTTGGCCATAAGTGTTACTGTTCCACTGTGGAACAGACCAAAACCAGATATTGTTCTTCTTGTACTTTTATCATGTGGATAGGTTGTTGCTGTTTGAACAACTATTGTTTGTGTGCCAAGAACAGTGTGAAAACTAGCTGTGCTTATACTAGTTTATCTGGTTAAGCCCTACTTTCCTGATTTTTTTGTTAAGCTGAAAGCTTTGTCTTCTTCTCTATTTAGCCTTCCTCTTTCCCTAAGTGGCTCTTTTTCCTCTCCTTGTTCACAAGTCTCAAGTGCCATTTGTTATTCCCGAATCCTCATATTGCACAGCTAACTCATTTCCCCAGACACTCTTTTTGTGAAAAGGTTTTCCTCTATCTCCCATTTCTTCCATTTTTCAGTGCCATTGACCTGATTCATAGGTTGGGTTGTTTAATCCATAGGCTGTTCTGCATGAGAGGGAGAAGGAAGTTGTCCAGCCTGTAGCACAAATGCCACTCCGTGTTTCCTTAGCAGCCCATGGTCAGTTTTGTCCTCGGCTGCTGTGTCTGTTGAGTAAACCAGAACTAAGTAACCCAGAGATTAACAAATGGCATTAAGTGTATCCATTTTGCTGATGTATCAAAATGTGTTGTATGAATGTGCCTTAGTGTGCTTGAACTTCAGAATTTTTGTGTCTTAAAGGAGCATAAGAAAATGGTGGCGTGCTCTTCCTCCAAACAAGAAGGAGCTACTTAAAGAAGCTGCAAGAAGGAATACATGGAAGATAGTCTTCATTCTGTGCAGTGTGGGAATTATATTTATCATGTTTTATTGTACTAATTTGGATGATACACCAATCACAGGACGTGCTCGGCTTTTGGTGTTTGGGAAGGAGCATTTTGCACAATTGTCCCAGATGGAGTATAATATGGTAGGTAGTTAAAACAGGCAAGCAAAGAAAAATCCTCTACTATTTCCTTCTTCCTTTTTAAATTGAGTCGACTCTTTTCTTATAGTTTTGTAGTTTATAAAATATACAGAGTGGTGGCAGAGCAACCTTTTGTTAATGCGAATCTATCCTGATGTTAGGAGTATCTTCTGAATCTCCAGCACTTCAACACATGCAACACATTTTTCCCTTTTGCAATATCCAGCTCATCCATGACTGGTTTTAAAAATAACACCTTCAAAACCAGCAGGATGAGTTGCTGTGAACTGAGAAGCTGGGTGCTGCCAAGCCAAGTGATGATTGTTCGCAGTGAATGATTGCAAGTGACTAAGATATAGTCACTGGGGCTGGATATAGAGTTGCTCCTTTGAATTCCTGAATATACATGGGAAGGAGAGACTATCCAATGTGGGTGGGCCCTTGGTGTCATGTCCTTCTAAGTTAAGCTTGGCTGCATAGAAGCTCTTGACCTCTATGGATTTTAGCAGTGAAACTGGACACTGGAACATATGGAGGGAGGATGCCCTGCTCTTCATAGAAACATAGAAGCAGAGCGAGTCAGAAGAGGTCTCCCAGGCCATCTAGTCTGATCCCGGGCTCCAGCTGGCTCCTCTCATGACATGCCCACCATGTGTACGTCTAGCCTATCCTTGAACACCCTCACCGATGGGGCCTCAACCACCTCCTATGGAAGCCCATTCCATACCCTCGGGGTCCTAACTGTCAGGAAGTACTTCCTGGCATCTAAATTGAACCTTAGAAATTCATAAAGTCACTTTCCACAGGTGCAACAATGGGGGTGTGTGTCAGGCTGATGTGCTTTTTATTCCCATACATTTATTAAACTGGGAATGCCTGAAGAAAGCTTATGTGGTCAGCCAGTGTGGTGTAGTGGTTAAGATCGGGAGTCTGGGATTCAGGCAATCTGGGTTCTAGTACCTGCTCATCCATGAAGCCAGCTGGGTGACTTTGGGCCAGTTACCAACTTTAAGCCTGACCTACCTCACAGGGTTATGGTTGTGGGGATAAGTCTGAGAGCAGGAGAAGGCAAATGATGTAAGTAGCTTTGTGTTCTTTAAGAAAAGAAAAAGGCCAAATATAGGTCTAATAAATGGATAAGTAAATAAATGTAAGAACTGATTATATGGTACGATGATTATCATGCAGATTCTGCAAATAAGGTTCTGAGTTACATTTTGTCACTGACCCATGGTAGACTCATAGTGCAAATGGCTTCTAGCTTTTGAAATCTCCCTTGGGGTACTATTTGATTTAGAGAAGTATTAATAAACTAGACAGGTTCTTGAAGGTGCTTTTGCAGAGTAGTCTAAGTATTCTGCAAGAAATAGTTTACACTTTGTACACATTTTGAATGTCAACTTTACACCATTTGTGTCAACACTGTTCCTGTATACCAATGCACTACAGAGAACACCTGGTCCTTGAGTTAAGCATGAGTTCCATTCCTGCGATCGTCTTTAAGTTGAATTTGCATGCAAGTTAGATTGTGTATATAAAAAGCATATAAAACACAGTTCCATATAAACTTAAACACAATGCAGCATTTTAATAATGACAATAATGCAGTAATAATAAAGTAATTATAGGCCCTGAAGAGAGAGAGACAATTCTATTGTTGAATGACTAAAGCCTAATACTTTCCCAACAATGAATGGCATCTCACTTTTCTCTGATCGCATTATCATTTCCACTTTAATTTTTTTTTAATGCATCACATGCATTTGCATCGGATTTATGCTTTGGAGGCATGGCTACAAACCAAATACAGTATGACGTTATAGAAGGCAACACTAACTCCATGTGATTCAAAACATATTGGCTTGGATATGCTAGTTTTTCATGCTCACTGTATGTAGCATGTACTGTAGTTCTGCCACGGAACTAGTTCTGACTGCCACTTTTTCCTTCCCCTTTCCTCCTTCATTCCTTTCCTTCCTTCCTCTCTACCTACCTATTCTTCCCTTCCTCCTTCCTTCCCTCCTTCTGTTCTTCCTTCCGCTTCTCACCACCTGGTACCTGTGGGTGACTGCATGCTGCTCACCACCTGGTGCCCATCACCTGCTGCCTGTGGCACCTGCTTGCTGCTTAACGATGAGGGGGGAACTTCTGGGTTTGCTTGTTCAGAGTGAGGGGTTATTCTTAACTCAGACATTCATAACGATGGGACTATATCCATATGCAGCTCATGAACTGGAGGTTAATACGCCCATAAGTATGAATAAAGGATGGTTGGACAGTTAGGTGCTGAAGCTTTAATACCTCATGCCTTGGTGAGCAAGGCACTGTCTGGTGAGATAGGGAGGACTTCAGAAAGTACAGTATCTAACATCAGACTCAGCTTATATATCTTTCCCTGTGAGGGAATTGCTATTTGGTGGCCAGGCTGTTGGAATGCTACAGCTAAAAAGTGACAGAATTTTCACATGTAGCAAAAAGGATGGACAGGTGGGGAGATGGTCACAAATCGGTCATACTTTTCAGCAAGTGTTCTCCCTTCTCCTGCTTACCTGTGTGAAATGCTCTGTCCTGGTATCCTAGGGGTCTTAGCTGCATGTGGTGGTTAATTCCCCCTTCTCCCAGTGTGTGGATAATACTGCAGTTTGTAGCACATATAGCATAAGCAACAGGCGGAAAAATATGAGACTGAAGGA